CACCATATATATATATATATATATATATATATATATATATTCACCTTTTTCAAGTTATGAGCCAATTAGGGATTAATTCATCTCGTTATACGAGGACCAACATGGTGACGATGAAGACTATCCCCATGGGGATAGTAAACAGGATTGCTTGTGGTTGCTGAATCGCTTATTCCGTTCGCAATTTCCTAGCCTTTCTATGCGCAATGCAGAGGTTTCCACTTTACGTACATTATCAATCCGGTCCTAATAGCTGACTAATTTTCAAGATACCCAAAAATCAAACTTCAACAGAAATTTCCCTAGTAGATACAACAAGACAAACAACAGAGAACGAATCGCAGTGAATACTTACACCAATGTCCATCAGAATACTGTGAAGTGAGCTCCTTGGCTTGATGACTGTTCATTCCAGAGGCACAGCCAGTGAGCTCATTGTGCACCAACTCTGACGGAAAAGTGTCCAACAGGTCATGACAGCCGAAACAGCGGACCTCTAAACTACCGGTCACGGCGGTCGGTGCTGTTGGGTTCGGTAAGGAGCCGCGGGTTCGAGATGTATGAGCCACAGCCCAAGGTGAGGCGAGTAAGGTGGGTAACTCCGAATCGTTCCGAATGGCGCTACATTCGTCGGACGTAGAAGGTGGTGCGTCAATCAGATTTCGTAAACCCATTTGGAAGAGGTGAAGTTTGTGTAGAGACTCTCGTGCATTTTGTAACGCCTAAAGAACGATCAGAAATTCATGCGCAAAAAGTTAAGACCCATGAGCACAAGCGTAAACTAGAAAATAAGTTTAAACGCAGCTGAAAACACCAACCGCGATGGAAGCCCGGAATCCAGACACCTGGTTGATAGACGATCTAAACTAAATGGTTTATTTAGTTTATCATTATTATGTTCACGAGTTTCCTCAGAATACCTATATTACACATCCCTATATGACAATGCGTTGTTGGCATTTAACGTGCCTTTGAGCAAGATCACTGAGTGAATATCAGTAGCATTAAGAGATAATGTTCATGACCAACCGAAATAAATAAATCACATATAGGGACCTAACAAAACGATAAAACAAACAACTATGACCAAAAAATGTCAGTCATAAAGACTGATCTTTAGTGTGCACTGTTTGCAGCTTCCCATTTCCCCCCAGCCTCCTAAATAGGTCAAATAAAGGAATCACTTTATACACCCCTCGGGGTGGATGTTCAGCAACCAAACTGGGCACTTTCGGTTTTCTCAAGTTATGAGCCTGGATACCTGATAACTTAATGTACCGAACTAGGTCCGAAATCCAAACCATTGATGAACAACGCCGGAGTACTCCAAGGTGCAGTTCTTTCGAAATACGTATTTAACGCGTATGTCAACAATTTATTTCCTAGTGCCCCGACGGCTTTCTTCAAATACTTTGATCATATTGTTTCTATGTCATGCATACTATCTCTAATTCTTCGGATCTACAATATTCCGACAATTTAGACAACGCTCAACAATTTTCAGCTACTTCTGGTCTATCCTTTAATCTCTCTAAATGTTCCGAATATTTCTTTAGGTTATCACGTTCTTCTTTCTCATCTGATCCGGTGTCGATTAGCTCTGAACTAGTATCCCGGGTAAGCTCTAGGGAGGTATCGATGCTAACCTTCATTGGATATCGCACATCTAATATATCGTCACTAAACTAGGAAAAATTATTTTTCCATAATCGTTAACTTCGATGGTTTCGAATTCAAAAGCCGATTGCCTTCAAATTCGTGTACCAGTGTTTTCTCCGTTTTGATTTATCATTCATCTATCGTCCTTTCTAATATCCCAAAGAAAGACTTTAAGCTACTTCGACGTGAACTGACCATCGGCAGCCAAGTTTCTTTAACGTAACCAATTAAATAGAATTGACAAATGTACCACATGTGATGAAAACATGTATTGCACGAATTAGCATGTAATCATAGGTTGTCTCTTCAATCCCGCCGGAGGAGTTGATAATCAATTTGTGTGAACATCACTTGAATGCATAATGAAAAGCTTGCACAGGATTCTTATGAATCCCATGTATCCACTGCATAAAGATTTAATTTCCTATCGTTCCCATCCGTCAACTGAATACTAATATCGTTGTTACCTCTTGCATAAACATAATTTAACTCTATGTAACTCTCTTTAGCATAAATTCTAGTTAATAAGGAACAGGTTTTCTTAAACTCCTAAAAATTTCGGAATTTGACAATTTTTCCTCTACAGTGTACAATGAAATGTAGGCATTAAGCTTACAGAAACCCTAATGACAGTACAACAGATGTTGATATGCATGTTGGTTTTAAGGGCTTGCTAACATGACATCCTAATCCGGAAATGCAACAAAACGTACCTTGTTTTTCATGCTTTTATCCACGTGTGACTGACCGTCCAAAAGTGCGCGGACTGCTTTCCGGCTTCCGTCCAAAAGGGCCCGTTCGACGCGGCAACGGTACGCGAGTTCTGTTACCTTGGATTTCCATACCAATACGGGATCGCGATTGTTCAGAGCCGTTGAACTACCACCAGGAGCCCCGTTGGATAGTCTTCCATCCAACTGATTCGATTGCGGCACATGATTGCCTAATCTGTTATTAACTGAATCTCCCAGCTGTATGGATAAAAAGAGCATCCGGTTTGGAGACCGTGAATAAAGCACTGACTACAGAAAAGGTAGAGAGCTATTCACCGCATTTCAGCAATTATTTAGAGCAAAAATTAAATAAACACGTAGAAGAAACCATTGAAAAACACTGCCAGGAGTTAACGGAAGAACGAACAAAAAAAATTCATGTAAGCGTGAAGATATGTCACTGCCACCCAACTTTGGTAGCAGGTAGCTTTGCTATCGTCCGGTTGAATACCACGCCTAACTTGGCGGGGTCTTATGTGGTTCCATATTTCAGGTCCCGGGTCTTAGGTTACCGGATTTCATCACCGAACACTAAGAGCCTCGGACTAGGGGGCCCATCGTCTGCAGTCCATCACAAAAGTGAGTAATAAAAAAGGATGTTCTCCCGCAAAAAGGAGTGGTAAAATTCCGAACTCCCGTGGCCAATAACATGAACGCCTTTCTAAAACCGTGGCACATCATTATGAGCCATCATAAGGGGTATCTGATTGGAGTAGTCCCATCCAGCTGGCTAACAGTTGTGTTCCTTGACACCCCCTCTTTGGCTTTCGTTACTTGCCCCACTATCACTTGTGACTCCGAGAATGCATGTGTCAGCGGTCACATGCTGATAAGCCGCTCGGCAGGCAGGTTATGTCAAGCTGAGGGTAAACTCACTGAGACGGCGCACGGCATGCCAAATCAGTAAATTCTGAGTGGACGGAAAAGGTCTACTCCCCGGTCCAACGGCTAGAAAGTCTGTCAAACCAACAGACGCATGGATCCTTAGGTTATATGGTGAATGAACTCCTAGTGAACCAGCAGCAACCATGAGTAAACAGTGCACCTTGCAGTTTGCACTTCGCTGTACAAAGGTTAGAGATGCATCCTGGAAATTAAAAATCGAAGCGACACCAGGGATGTTTCTTGTACCAAACCTCCACGAAACGTCATCATTCATGAAGCCGACTTGTCCTCCCCAAGGAGCTGGTAAACTATCGCAGTCGCGAAGAGAGCATTCAACAAAAAACGAAGTACATCTCTCCAGAGTCCGAATGTAAACTAATTGTGTAATCTATAATTAGAGAATGGTTAATATATTTTATCGATGCTCGTTATTGTATGTAATGTTATTTGGAGCATTTTTTTATTTCATACAATTGTATGATGAACAACAGAAGGGTTAAACCTCCGCAGTCACGAGCACTGACTGTTTATTCAGGTGAACCACCAACCTAAGCCCCGGGACTTGAAATGGCAAACAACATAAAGCCCTACTAGCATAGGTGTGGTAACGAATGGTCTTATTAGATCTTTGATTTTTTTAATCTAGCCACTGACGCATATCTTATTGAACTCAGTACACAGGTAACTTTCATAGGGAATTGGTTGTGCAACTATTAACTTAACAAAAAAGGAAATAAAAGATTAAAACGAGTAAATTTGAAGACATTCAAAACTATTGGGTGCGCAGTCAGGACTTATCCTCTGAGGATTAGTCCCGTTTGAATTTTCAAGAAAATATGGATAAAAAGAAGGGAAACTGCCTGGTTGGAAGTTCTTCCAACGCATTGCCATAAACCTAACAAGGCTCTTCTGTTGAATCCACTGGAGGCGAAACGACACAAGGAACCCGACATAAATCGGAAGGAGCATAACTACAATCACGGAAGACTATTTGATAACGGATTGAAAAAATGATGTTATTGTGGATTTAGTACTGGTACAGCATTTGGAAACAAAGCGATCAAACAGCCAATAGGGGACGGGAAGTCACCAAAGGAATAATTAGAAGGGAACAAATAGCAAGCAGTTAGCGAGAAGATAGCGAGTTGGATTGAACTTACAGGAATAGCCCACAAACACTGTGGCCAATTGTTGTCGGAACTTAGACGACCGAATTGCTAAACAAAAGTTGGGTGACATGCCAAACAAGGGTTTAAGGACCTCAATTTCAGAGCACTGATGAGTACCAGTTAATGAAAGTTGTTTGTTTCCTTTTACTATTGATTATAAGGTGTTCGTCTGCAAACGCTTGAACTCAAACAAAGAAAACAAAAATCTAGTCAACGAAAACAAAAGCTAGTTTGAGATTGGCATAGAAATGCGTCCGTACAACGATAAAGACTAAGGACTAGTGGGATCATGCTAAACCGAGTTGTTATATTTATTTCATGGGGGGGATGTTGTAAACCCAAATAACCATGCCTGTGATAAAAAGATGCTAGATTTACAGGTCTACCGTAAACCGGAGTAGGAGCTTTTACGGAGACTTACTTTTTCTCAGTTGATTTTGCACTTTCGTTTGCAAGTTCCCTACTCGCAAAGCACTTAGCAGTAAACAGTATCATCAATTCTTATATCCCTACTCTTCCATACAGAGTAGTTAGCAACTTGCCTGCTTTCTATATACCGCTGTGTAATGAACAGTGGAAGAGGCAAACCATAATCACGACGACTCTTTGTTCACTTATGGGAACAGCCAACCTAAGCCGTAGAACCACACAAAGTCCCACTAGCATCGACGGGTGGAATGGAGCCGGGTTTCCTGCAGTGTCTTGATACCTGTAAGCTATTTACGTGTTTTACCAATAACAATGTTAAAAGCTGCAAGCTCCCAAATTTTGGAATGCGTTGTTTGTAAAGCAAGGAATTCCATAATCGAAAAACCAAGAAGCACAACTTCAGTTCAGTTTCGGTTTGTACAAACATTAACTCTGAACTTCTGTCCGAGAAGTAATTTGGAGCTGTTTCGACAGGGAGAATCAACCGACCCAGTTGATGATCGATTAGCAGCGGTCGTCTGATCAGATGATTTTACTCCGCCCATAAAATATACAGCATAATCCAGGCATAATGCTCACCTCACCAAAAGGCCCCAAGTGTTTTGAATTGGTCATGAATATTACTTGGAAGCATAGCGGAAGATTTAAATTCGTTATAGAATAAAATTCCTAGTACAGAGAGGAGGACATGATTAGCGAGAATGGATATATTGGAGAGAGCTTCCGCGACTCAGCGACTCAGTTACCTTTCGACGGAAAGCTCCATGAGCATGCATTGTGGATGATGTACGTGAATAAAAGCGATGGTAGTAGATTGCATTTGGGTGAAATAAACCCCATGGACACATGAACCAATCCCGTTAATACAACACTTCAACCTAGCTTTCTGATTAATAGATTACGGAAGCCATTTGGCAAATGGGTTGAACATTATTTGATCAAACAGTGATGAACAATGAAAGTGTTGAACCTCATAGGTATGAAGACCCACTGTTTAGACGTGAAAACCGGGGGGG